ATCACAACAGGTTTATTTTATTGCTGAACTTCGTGCAATTTTTTTAGATGGAGCTCCAGCCATAGTAAAAATAAAAAAGTAGCCCTGGCTGAAATTGCTACCTACTCTCTAGTGATGTGCCCTGCAGTAATTCATTCTACCACTAGATGTCCTCAGTGTTTCAGGTTGAACAACACCCAGAGTCATTCCAACTGGAAGACTGAAGACTTACTGTGAGTTCAGGGCTTTAATGAGTCATCATGCCATTGCAAAACAATACCGGCGCCTTCAAATCCAAAAAGAGCCCAGCAGTAAAAATACAGCAAACACGATGGAGGCAGCTCCCACAGATTAGATGGACCACCAGTCTATGAGAAAAGGAACAAAAGAGAGCGCCTCCATAGTGTAAAAATGTTATTTAATAGTAAAAACTTACAACAGTTCGGTAGAATAAAAACCAGTAGAATAAGGTGAGAGGACGGAAACCCCTGGAAGGGGGAATCTGGAGCGATGTAAAACACCAGTAACCTCGATCCCTGTATTGATAAATGGTTTACGCGTTTCTGGGGCACGCCCCCTTCATTACACTGCAAGTACATTCCACCCTGTACTTGCATGGTAATGATACAGAGTGTGGTGATGATGTCATGATTATGATTTGGGGGGACATGGAGCCTGAAGTTAGGCTTTAAAGTGAAACTTCTTTTTTTAGGTTCTGGATAAAGAGTAATTATTAGGACCACTATAGAGTTTTTTTTTAATTGTTGTTCGTTTCCAAGCTGGAGAGATCAAATATATATATCATCACCAGGACACCATACTCATAGGTAAAGGTAGGACAATTAATTAATCACCCATAAAAGGTTTTGAAGTCTCTGGGGGCCTCTTCAGGCAGTAGTAAGAAAAATAGGACAGATTCACCCTCTCTGTTGGTCCTGAATACCATTGTTTCCGGTACAGATGGGACAGTACAGACGGGAAATGTAAAACCTTTGAGTTGCCACAAGAACAGGAGGCATCCGCTGCTAACTTCTGCATTGGAACATGCTAGTTGCTTGGCTGTCATGCTGATTCAGTAGCATCAATACAATCCCAGTATACAGCTCAGGGCCTATAGCTGTTCATGGACCTGCATGCTTATTCCAGGTCAGTGACTTTGAAAGTATGGCCGCCATAGGGTTGGCACGAGAGCCAAATGACTACCATTTGCAGAATGAGGTCTGAGTATATGTCTCGCATGTCAGTTTTATTTCAAAGACCGGTACGGGGTCAGGCAGCCCAACTCTTTTTATGCGACTGCGTTCTGTGTATTAAATTAGCCCCTTCATAGAGCAGCAAATAACACCCCCCCCCACCTTCTCATAACCGTGAATTGCCATTGCTGTACAGCCAATTATTAGCAAGACGTGCACAGACAGAAATAAGGTCATATTGTGGTTGCTTTTGCAATAGTGTATTTTGTAATGCGAGTTGCCTTGGTTAGCAAATCAATGGCTCTGCCTTCTGCTTCTTAGTAAAATATTAGATTATTGATTTGAATTCCTCGCCGTTTAATGGTTATTCAGAAGTGGCTGCCTTCAAACTATTCCCAATCTTTGATTAAAATAAATAGCACATCCCGGAGAATTTTACTGCAGTGCTGTTAAATCTGCATCGAGCTAGAAATGGAATTGTCTGCACAGAGCCGAGGGTCGGGGGTCTGCGTTATGTGGGCATGCGGGGGGTTGGGGGGCATGGAGGTACAGATGGTGTAAATAGGCCTACATGTAGATGCCCACAGCAGCCTGCCTCAGCCAGGGTGACCTGGCATACTGGGGTGCCTTCTGGCTTCCTCAGGAGTGCCTTGACATTTCGTGATGGTTGGACTCTGATATAAAGAGGGGCTTTTGATGTGAAAGGAGGGCTTTGATATAATGGGGGGACTCTGATGTAAGGGGGGGGGGGTCTA